TATCACCTCTTCAGTTGGCTTGTGCACAACATGCCTTGCTGCTGCAGCCCCAGTAAAGTCAAGGTGGCAGCCCCAAGAGCAATAGTAAAGGAAAAATCCTGTTGGACATATTGGTTCTTAGCTGAATAAAGCACTGTGCTGAACTAAGGTCAGTAGTAAAACAATAGTCTCTAGGGAAGACTTGGTGAGGAATTATCCTCCAAAAAAGTGCAAGTTTGACAAAGCTGAAGCAATCTGTAAAATAGCTGTGATCAGCCAATACCCCACATTTCTGGGATTGGTTGGAACAACTTCAGCATTTTTAAATGAAAAGACTTGTCCCTGTCTTAAAAAAGAGGTCTAGATGACTTTGACATCTTTTTTGCTTAGCTGATGGGTTGAAGTTGAGGAAAATGCTACATGGGCTTTATTTGGTTTTCTCCCTCATTCATAGCGAGGAAATGTCTTTGAAATTGCATTCTTGCAGGGTGGAAAAACAATTCTCCCCCCATTCCCCTCCACTCAGGTGCATTCTTTTCTATCCAAAAGACCAGAAAGCCAGCTGGATGCTGAAAATGGGTTTTCAAGAACAGCAGATCTACATTTCTAGCCGTAGATCAGACAGAACATCTTATAAAAGGAAACGTCTCTGTTGCTTAAGATCCTTTGCACAAGACTGGAGGAGATACAAGGCCCCCAGGAAGTTTTAATAAGTCAATGCGAAACAAAAATCACAGCCTACATACTGAGGCTTCAGACCTCACCATGGCATCGATTCCACTGCCAGCTTTTGGGGTAGAAGTCTTATTCTGCACTAGTATCATCCTTTGCAGAGCAGACTTCTGGAAACTCTATTTCTCCTCTCACCCTCCGTTTCTGGAGAGAGCAATGGGAATATATGGTTACACAGATGTCCCTGTATCAATCCCTTAAACCTTCACTGACCCTTTCTGCAATATAAACCAGCTATTGACTTATTCCTCCAGCTAAAGAGTTTTGTCTGGTGTACACAGGCCCTGTTGCAAAGCCCAGCATGCTAAGGGAGATGACTGCAATGGCATTCATTTTTAACCCCCATTCAGCATCTCTGTATTTAAGGTACAGAAGCAAACATGCCCAGAGACACACATTTCTATGGTCGTTCAAAAAACACTGAGATACCTAAGAGTGATGGAGAAACTGTCAATATTAGGTGGGGAAGAATGAAATTCAATACCATCCAGCATCAAACACATAAAACATCCAGAATCCATCCTGCTCCTCCTAGCACAGGTTTATCAAACCTGATTTACAGATGTCATCAGAAATTCATTGCATGTGAAGCCATAAGGAGAAGATGAAGTGAGACACGGGTGCTTTAACAGTGTTCTGAGCAGAGGGTTAAGAGGATTGCCACACCATTACTACTAGACACTCCAGTAGGCCAAACAGGAACACTCACTGGGATGGGAAACTCCACAGGCCAGGCTCCAACACATCCTTGGAGCAATCCTGGATGGAAACATCTCAACTCTTCCACTCTATCCCAGTGTTTGGATTGTGTGTGCAAACCCAGGAATCCCCAGGGTTTCTCTGGCACCGTTTCTGCCCAATTTAACCTTAATTCCAGATGGAAATGCCCTCAGTGTTGTGCCTGTAGAGATCTATCTGCAACTGCAGCGCGGAAAAAGCTGCTGCTTCCTTCGGAGGCCCCCAGTAGCCAAGGAGGGACCCATCAGGGGCTGACAAAAGGGAGCAATCATCACCCAGGGGAGGGACATTGCTCCTGGCAATGGTACAGCAATGGGTCTCAACTACTGCAAAGCAGCTTTGCTCTCCTAAAGCCTGCACATCAGCCAGGCACAGGAGGGCCTGGACGCATGAAGACCTGGTGTTTCCTCCCCCATATATATATATATATATATATACATCATCTCTTCATTTTCCCCTCTCCAGGTGGGAGATGCAGATCTGCATATGCAGAACAGGGAGACATCAGTGTGACCAAGCCTCCATCCCGCTGATGCCTTGTTCTTTCCATGGGTTTATACCCCATATCTGCAGGCAGAGGGATGATGGGTTTCAAACACTGGTACTTATCCTCCTAATTGGGAACTAGAGCTTAGGTATTCATTGCACAAAGCTGGCCCAGAGCCACCCAGCTCCTCACCTCCTAGATGCAGGGCGAACATGGCTGTGATGACAGAAACACCCTCCATACACCTCTCAGCAGCTTCCTAATAGGGGATCTTCCCTGACAACCCATTACTCGGTCCCCTCTATGCTGCCCACCCCTCTCTGCCTGTGTTATTGACTTTGCTGCTGTGTGAAGTGACAACACTCACTACCGGCCCTTGCCTTTGTGTTCTCAGTCAGTAACTGGAGCCCTCGACAAACAGCAGTGCTAAGCGTGATCTGTCATTTAACTCCTCTTTTTGTCCTTCCAACAAGCGCCTTTGCATTCCTTCGTTTTGTGAATGGGGTTTGGCAGAGCCCTATAGAATTCCCCATTGTTTCCATTTGCACTTCACTCAGTGTCCATCATTTCTACTTATGCCCCCAACAAATTGGCAAAGAAAGAGGGAGGGGGAAGGACCCACATGCTCAGTGTCTGTCTCTGGTCATAGACTTCCTACAAGCCCCTCAGCACAAGACCTTGGCAACCCTTGGTCAGTGATGAAGCCTCCATAAACACTGGTTTCAATCAGGACAGATTTTATCCCCCTGACCCACTGCAGAAAGCGGATGAAGCTGGAGCTTTGAAGGGACCAGATTGGAGATGCACACTGATGCAGCAGGAGGGAGACCTGGACACTAAACCTCAGCTTGCGGCTGTGACACTGCCCTTCCTTCCTGGGACACAGCTCCAAGAAGCTCTGCAATTGACTCCCAAAGCACCCAGCACACACACACCATTTGCTTGCCTATTGCTCCCATGGCTGAATTCATCCAGCAGTGCCATAATGTCCCCAGATCACCTCCTTGGCTTGCACGCACTGGTCTGTTCCACTTGAATCCGAACCTGTGCTTTCCTCCAGGCCTTCCTGGGGCTGACCCACCTGGATGCTGTACCACTATGTCTGTACACATAGTCGTACAGCATCCTCACCCAGCGTGTGGACCAGGCAGCCCCAAGCAGCATCACACCAACAGCCCAGTGACAGCAAGCAGGCACCCAAGAGCATCCAGAGACCTCCTCCATGGCCAGCACAGCGCAGCAGGGCTGAAAGGGGGCCAAGGTGGCACAACTCCAGCTGAGCGCTGCTGCCTGGGGATGTGCTCAGTGCATGGCTGAATGCAAAACCTTCTCCTCTGGTTCAATGAGCCTGTGCACTCCCAAAATGCATCAACAGAAACGATCAAGAGGGGCACTTGGAGCTTGCAGAGCCTGTAAAAACTTTGTGTTCCTCTGGTTTTACAAGCTCTGGATGCTTGAGCCAGGACAAAGCTTCAGCACACACTGCGACTGCTCCTCCTTCCCGCTCCCATCCATGGCTCTCCTGCACATCTGGCAGCTCCCTCAGCCACCAGCCCAGCTCCAGAGGATGCTGCAGGAGCACTGGGGTAAGCAGGACCCCAGTGCCATGAGGGGGGGTCTCTCTGTCAATGCACCAGAACGTTCCCGTTACAAGCTGCCCTCAGGCAGCACAACCCTCCCTGAGGATGCCTCGATGGCACAAGGGTGGCCTGGTGAGCACAGGCCCAAGCCAGCTCTGGGCTCAGAGGACCCTCTCCAACACTGACAACCTCAACAGGAGCATCCAGGGTAGGATGCACAGCACTTTGCCAAGCAAATCAAAGCCCAGCACCAAAAAGCCCATCGGGAGATAATGTGAAGGGTAGCAAGCGACCTCTGCTGAGGAGGGAACGGATCAGCAGCACGCTGGTGAGGTACTGGAGCCAGAGGAGATCCTGGGAACAAAAGGCACACGCACTCGAGTCACCAGAAGAGACCAAAGCGCACATTTCCCATGGCACTGCAGCACAGACCCCGTGCACAGCACTGGCCTGGGATACAGATGCAAAACCAGATGTAGACCTGCAGCGAGCAAGCAGCAGAGCCCATCATTTCCTTAACCCATCATCAGCAGGATCTGATTCTCCTGGGGCTCAAGCAGGACATCCCTGTCCTTATCTGTACCATGGCTGTGGTCACCTCCATCCTGCTCACAACTTGAAGCCCTGTGCAGTGTCTGTGCCTTGTGCCAAGTATCCCCCCAGCACCGGGGCCCTTCACTGTGAAGCTGCTCTTGGTCTTCCAAAGCAATCTTTATCTGTGTGTTCCCCTTTCCACTAGGTCTTGGACACACAGATCCCATCACACAGTCCCATACTGGCACTTCCCTCCACACCATGCCCAGCATCAAAAAGGTGCAACTGAGAGATGCAGTTACCAGCATCCCTAAGCATGCCATAGCCACGTCTGCACAAAACCCCACCTTAAAGCACTGAATTACGGTCCTTGTGAACATAACCCCCCCACCAAAGACCTCGAGGAGAGCTGTTTGCAGCCCCTGGGAGCAGTTCTGCTTCTCTCCACATAACTCCACGCTCACAGACAGAGGCAGGGAGAGCCTGCCCCAGCCTACAAAGGAAACTGCACATTCATCCACATCCAAGCAGCGGCTGCCGGCAGCGGGGTGACCCCGGGTGCAAAGAGGTGGTGGTGGGGGGGGGTATTCCCAAATCATCACCCCGTTTCCCCCTCCTTTCATCCCATCTCCCAGCCCCTCCTGGCAGAGGCAGAGGGATCCTGCTCACAACTTTCCCCAACTGCCAGGGAGAAGAATCCCAGCCTTTTCCAAGGGAGTGTCGGTAAATCATCATTACATCCGACAACGCAACCAGCAGCGCTTAACCCTTTGCTGCTCGCCGGGAGGAAAACCAACAACAACAACAGATTTAACAATGGGGAAAGAGTAAAAGCGGGTCCCGGCTGTGCGAGGACGGGGGTGTGCGAGCCGTGGGTTTATTGCATACACGCGTATACATGGATGCGGAGAAGCGATTGTGCGCCCGTGGGTGCAGCGGACACGCGGGGACCGCGCCACCCGCGGTTCTCCCGCTTCCCGGAGGACGAGCCCAGGTATTCCTGCCCCCATATCCCGAGGGAGAGCGAGGTCGAGGAGCAGCATCCCAGGAAGGGCTGTGGGCACCCCCCTCGGTGCCCGGTGGAGGTGTGAGAGGGGAAGCGCGGCGCTGGAATCGCCGCTTCCTGCATCCCGCATGGGGAGGGCATCCCCCCGGTGCTGCTCCCGGGATGGGGGCTCTTATCCCGGGTGCATGGGGATGGGGGGTGTTTGGGGGTTCTCCTGCCCTTCCCTGCTCCAAGCTCCCCGCTCTCACCCCTTCCGCACACCGCAGCCCCGCTCCCCCCTTCCCCTGCTCCAGCAGCGTGGCCTCCCTTCTCCCAGCTCATTCCCAGGAGTTTTCACATCATCCCCTGGCAGAGGAATGTCTCCCCCCTCCACCAGCCCATTCCCGGGAGCCGAGCTCCCTTCCCGGCTCCCCTGCACCCCCGTCCCGCCCGGGATTCCCTTTCCCCAAGCGCCGGGAGAAGCCGGACTTTGTACTCACCCCCTGCCTGCTGCTGTAGCTCTGAGTCTGGAGACCGGCTCTGATTCCGGCTCCATCACGTTTAGTGCATTGTCTCTTTCGGGCAATTTTTGCAGCAATCCATCAGAAAAAGGGGGTCAGGCCGGTTTGTGGGTACATCCTTCCCAGGAGCTCAGCTCTCTGCCTCTCTAAGGGGCTCAGCTGTGTCAAAGACACCCCCTGGCCCGGACGGCTCACTCCTTCCTCCTTCTCTTCTGGGTCCTTTTGCTTACACAGATCTTTTAATCCCATTTAACTCCCTCTCGGCAGACTGCAATTACCTTGGGAAGAAGGAGAGAGAACAGAAAGTACACGCTAGGAAGCCGGGCTGGCCCATGGTCGCTGGATTTCTCGCCTCTTTTCTTTCCCCTCCTTATTAATGGTACAATTTCTGGGAGCTCTGGTTTCCAAAAGTCCTTGATTTAAAGTGTTTGGTTGGGGTTTTCTTCCCCCCCTTTAGCTGTTAACTTTGTTGTTTGGTTGGTGGTTGTAATTATTGTTTATTTTGCAGTGCAGATGTGCCTCCCACCACCCCCCCTCACACACACACACCCCCCCTCAAAGGATCTCTCCTCTGGACTTAAGAGAGAAGAGGAAAAGGCAGATTTGGAGAAATGAAAATGATTTAAGGATGGCTCCGCGGCTTCTCTCTGCTGCCCTCCTCTGTAGCAGTGAAGCACTTACAGACAGAAGGGTAATACAGAGCAAATAAATAATTAATGAAGAAGAAACTCTTTTGGGGCCATTGAAGCGATGAAGACTCCGCCAGGCCCCATGGAGGAAGGCGCAGGCCCCTGCTCTGGGGAGGATGCTGATGGAGGTGGTTGCTCCTCTGCTCTCACTGCTTGGGGGACGTAAGCCTGGAGCCTTCCACCTACCCCACCGTGGACCTCAGTACCAGGTACCTGCCTTGGCTTCTACCTGGGGTTGGTTGGGAGCCCATGGAGGGGGGTTTGAAGGAGAAAATCTCCCCCCCGCCCCGGCCCTGCCCGCATCCTCACCCTGGTCCCACAGGGAAGGGGATTAAACGGTGGCATCTCCCCCCCTTCTCCCAGCACCAAGTGATGGAAGCTGCAGCCAGGAGGGCAGGGAGAGGGGAATGAGTTCTCTTATACAAGTTCCATCAGGGTTAATCAGCTCCCAAGTCCACTTTAGCCAGCTCTGCCAGCAGAGGGGACTTTTGCACGTGAATTAAACCTTCATCCCTGTGCTCCCTCCTCTTCCAGCTCTGGCAAAGTCCCACAGAGCATGGACCCAGCCACTGCACACACCCTGGGGTGACCAATAGGTCCCTTTTATCCACACCAGGACGCAGCAAACCCCTCAGATCCGTGGGGTACCCTCAGGGCAACCCATCACACGGAGCCCCCCCACCTCCTCCTTGCACCCTTGGGTGCCCCCACAGCCCTGCTCTCTTCCCCTTGCACAGCATCCCTGCCTTGGGCACTTACTTTGCAGCGAGGCGAGAGGCTGGGCAGCATCTCCTCGCAGCCCCATGTTCATTGGCATTCATTTGTCCCAGCAGCTTACAACAATCTCTATTTCTTGACAGAATAATAATTAAAAAGGAAATAAAAAGGAGGGGAAAAAAAAAAACAAAGGAAGCCAAAAGGGCCTCTCAAACCCCTTCCTCCCTCCTGTGCTGGGGGTTCACAGCCCCCTTGCTTCCTGGCAAGGCTGAGGTCCCCCCAGGTTCAACAGATAATCCTTCCCCAGGGCTGGCTCGGGCAGGTCCCCCTCAGGCCGTCGCTCCACTCGTGGGTCATGGATACCGCAGGGATCCAGGAGTGAAGAGCGGCTGCGGAGGGACATGGATGTGAAAGAGGTGGGAATGCTAAGGCTGCCCTTGTCCTTTTAAATAGCTGCAGGCAGGGACCCGGCTCCCTGGTGGGGGTGCCCCAGGTATCCGGTTTCAGCAAACAGCAGCTAATGAGCAGAGATCCAGCCTCCGAGGGGCAGGTTCAGCGGCTCTGCGGGGCAGGGGCAACCCCGGGTACCGCATCGGGAGGGGATGGGGCCGGGGTGATGCTGGAGGAGGGAATGGAAGGCTGCGGGTCACTGCTGTTGCAAGGACAGGTCCTGCGGGGTGCTGAGCATCAAAGCTGCATGAAGGTGTCCCTGCCTATGGCAGGGGGGTTGGAACTTGATGATCTTAAGGTTCTTTCCAACCCTAACTATTCTATGATTCTAAGGTGTTCTCTATCTTGCACATTATCCCCCCAGCACCTGGGGAAGGACCAGGCAGAACTAAAGCATCTTGGACCCGGGTAAGGGCTCTAAACTTACACAAATGCAGCCACAGGTAGGATCAACACTGACCCATCAAGCACCTAACTTGAAGCAAAAGGGGGGTGATGTTAACATAGGACTGGCCTGACTCAGAAATGCAGGTTTCACTTAAAAACCTGACCTCAGAATGTGGCCAAAAGTTGAGGTTTCCATCATAAATCAGATTTAATACACATAAACCCTTCTGTTACCATGCTAAGGGCTTCTCCCCTTAAATACATACAATTCAACTTAGTTGTGGTTTTGCATCTCCCAATTCGTATAAGCATAAGGCTTTACTCCTACCTTTGCTCTGAAGCATCTGCATTTTGTCTCCTTGCTATAACAGATGAAGTGAGTAAAGGCAACAACAAACTTTGCAACAGGCAGTTTTATGCCTGGGGTAGGTAATGAACAGCCTCAGGATCCACTGTCCTCAATGAGTGCACATCCAGGTACCTGTAAGAAACTCCTGTGTCCAAACCAACCTGCCTCTGGACCCTGGGAAGGGCCAGGAGCCCAGACCACCCATCCAGACCAGCTTAAGACAAAAGCTTGTCAGAAATCACAATAAAATCTCAATTTCTTTGCTATTTTGTTTCCCAGCTGCTTTTTCCACGTTTCCCAGTCATGCATTCCTCATATTCCAGCCAAGCCAAAGTGATTCAAGATAAGGTTTTCATCTATTAAAAAGGACTTTGCAAAGAAATGTGTGGAAATTCCTGTGCTGTTGAATACACCTTGTATCCTCCTGCTTTATCTTTCCTCTCCTCCAAACCCAGGAGGTGTTTAATACCCGTCCTTCCCCTCACAAAACCCTGCTCTACAAAGACAAGAACAAGGCCCTGGCTTCCCAACGTGAGAACCAGAGCAGATGTGCTCCATCTTTGTGCAGAGATGTATGGAAACGGATGTCTATTGGGTAAGGACTACAGGTCCAAGGACCACCATAAAACACACTTACAGCCCCATCCTCAATACCTTTCACATACTTAGATGAACACTTTCAAACTAAACACATGCACAAAAGCTTTGCTAACAGACATAAATATAACCCAGTGGTAGGGAAAAAGGGAATTAGCTTAAAACAAAAGGAAACCCATCATCGCTGAAGCCAAGGCTTGTGCCAAGTGAATTCAGATTCAAAAATGAGACCTCATTCTTCACGAAGAGAAAAGCCACAACGTATGATGTGACTAGAAATAGACGAAGCAGATGGATTTGTCTTCCAAATTTAAATAGAAGCCATTATAAAAACACTGAACAAACCGAAGGAAATCAGCGCAGCGGTGAAACATGAAACAGGGAGGGGGAAAAGGGGCTTGGAATTGACTGTTCCAGTTTAATTAGCTGAACTAAGGGAAAGGGAGGAGGCAACGCTGCCACGCACCACCCAGCGTGGGGAGCAGGGAACAGAACCCTTGCTTTTGACAGAACACACCTCTCCAAAAAGCAGCCTGTCATTACTGCCTGGATAAACACAGTGTTTAAAACACCCAGCCCTAGTTAGCCGCGTTCCAGAAGGATCAGTTCCCACCTCTCCAAGGATCCGTAGCTTGGTTCAGCATCAAGGCTATTTATTAATGGGATTTTGCCTCTCTGCTCCTTTTGGAAAGCCAAGCGTGAAGGCATCTGGGGGCCATGGTGAGCATGCATTACAGATGTGCTGCATCACTCAGTGCCCAGCTTGAAGGACCAGAGGACCCCCAGGCACTAACATGGGTTTGCCCTCCCAGTTTGGTTTGGCCTGAAGAACAACCCTGTTCAATCATCTTCCCTTTTGCTCAAGTCAGAGCATCCCACATCACCCAGAACAGGGAATTATAGGGATATATTTGGATAAATACCTTATTCAGGTTGAAACCCATGGCATGGGCAGGCAGAAGGCAGGGGCAGAGGAAACCCAAGGCACTGGAAAAATCCTGTGGGAGGGATCAAACAAACATGTGAATAAGGTGGGATAAAGAGCCTTTCACTGCCCTCTGGGCCGAGGATCTGCACCCAGCCCAGATTGGGAACATCTAAACTTGGTGCCTGGCTGAGAGCTGCTGGAGCACAAGGGAAAGGGACATTGCCATGGAGGGTGATGGTCCCAGTGGTCATGGGAGGACACAGTTATGTGTCTGTGCGGTGTGGCCTGGGATCACATGGAACAGGGCTGCTGGGGAGGGCTGGATCCACATCCAGGACCTCAGTAGGAACAGAAGGATGAACCATCCACAGGAATGGGGCTCATCCCCATGGAGTCACTATAACCCAGGCAGTGGCATAGGAGGGATCTCCAGCTCCTGGGGATGTCTTGCTGCAACCTGGTACCTTGGCAGCAGGAAGCCCCTGGGAAGCTGCAGGCAGGGGGCCTGGTGCTGATCCCTGGCACAAACATTAACACCAAAGTGACCATTTCTATCCCTTCTTGCTCCCTTTGAGAGCAGCCCAGCCCCTTTGCCCTTGTGTGCGCCGTGCTTTCCTGTAATGCTCTCGCAGGGGTGTAATTCCCTGCACAGGATTCCTTTATCTCGACACAACTGTTTCTGTATTTAACATCACCACGCTGGCACTTCTTACACTCATGGGCTCTATTTGAATGACTGCCACTACTTCAAACCCTGGACTAAGGTCTGCTATACCCTGTAGGACTTGGTCATGAGCAGAAACCTGCTCATGAGCTCCACTGGGTTGCTGAGAACTCTCCACCCATGGCACAGTCGGGATGTCCCTGATGGCAGAGCTGGCCTGGTTGGGGTCCAGATCACCGATGCTCCTATTCCTTTTCTCTCTCTGGCTTAGGCCATCACTCCAAGACAAGGCTATTTCAACTGAGGAGCAGAACATGCAGCACTTCCGACTTCAGGGACCGCTGTCGGACAGCTATTTTGTGTTACATCTCTTGCTCCCAGTGCCCTATGGACAGTAATCACACAAGAGATGTTCAGCAAGCTCAAACCCACGTAACCAAGCTACTGCCCAGTGCTGTTTCCCCTTCCCCGCGGCCTGACGCAGCCCATCCCATCCTGTGCCACAGGGAGTAGCAGGGACATGTCTGAGCTTTGCAGCCGTTTGATGTTAAATGCTTTACATTCTTTTCAGGAACACTAAAGGCTTTTGTCTCTTGACCAGTGCTCTGGGGATGCCACGTCTGGCAAAGACTGGTCTGGTGCTTTTCCAGCTATACCCTATCACATGGGGCTGCCTGGCCAGCAGAGAGGTAGGAATGGCTGTTAATCATTAAACGCAGCCTTTCTCCATTGGAATGAGAGGAAACACAATGCAGTGACACAAGTCCAAGCCCACCCTTCCCAAGGAAATGCTGCCTGCTGATTACAACTCTGCCATATGTTTCTATTTAGATATTTAGAGAAGTATAGCTTTACAGGGTAGCTGGAAAGCAAACAGTTCAGGTGATGTTATAAGCAAGGA